TTTGGTCATGATTCGCAATTGGATCGGATACGGAGCTTCGCAAACGGACAGGATACGGATCAATCCGGCCATCTTTTCCACAAGTATGCTTTTTTGATTGATGAAAAGCAGAATTTCAAAATTTTGAAAATCTAGAAATGTCGGAATTTTCGTAAAAGTCAAAATTTTATTTGAAAAACCCGAATCAATACTTGTTAACTTCTTTTATATACTCCCAAATTTATACTACAAAAAACGGGTTGACCCAAAAAGAAAGAGCCAAAATAGAGAGCCAAAAAAGTTGTGGGTGGACCAAAAAGTTTCAAATTTCAAAATTTATGACATCTTCTAATTTTTGAGTGTTTTTCTTTTTTGTGAGGGCGGACCTGGACCATCAGAACAAAAATTGAAAATCGAAAAATTCAAAAAAAATTTGTTAAAATCGAGAAAAAAGATTAAATCTGACTGACAAATTGGTCTTCAGATGACATCAGAAGTGGGTCACATCTTCTTTTTTTCTTGAATCTTTGAAAAAAACATAGTGTGGAGAATGGAGAGACGCAGAAAAATTCAGAGACATACACGTGAGAATTTCAAGGATTTTGCTGTTGTTTTTTTTTTGGAAAATAGGATGAGACCCTTTTTTCAAATTGGGATCTTTTTGGATTTTAAAAGTTGGGATTATGAACATTGTGAAAATCCGAGTTTATAAGATTCTAGGCATCTGAAATTCAGATTTTCCAAATTTCCAAAATTTGAAAACTCCAAAGTTTAATTTTTTTTCGAAAATTCTGAAATTTGAGAAGCATGGAGAAATCGTGAAGATTTCGAAAGTTAAAAAAATGAATATTGGAAAATTCAAAAGACTTTAAAAATTCTGAATTTCGAAAATTTCAAAAATTTCAAAAAAGTCAAACATATGTGAAAACTTCTAAAGTTGGATTATTTTTAATTTTGAAATTTCGAAGAACCGATAATTCTAAAATTCTGAAGTTCAGAAAAATTCGAAAAAGAATTCGAGTTCAGTTTTTCGCGTTTTCAAACTTTGGAATCTCAAAACGTCAAAAATTTCAGAATTTTGATTATTCCTAAAATCATTTTTGCTCTGAAAACGCCCTCGAAAACCAAAAATTCAATTTTCCGAAAAATCGGAAATCCCTCATAAAATCGAAAATGGGCAAAATAGGTTTCCTACAATTTTTTTCAATATATTTTTTTCCAACCAGATGAATGGGATGGGACCAAAAAAAGAAGACAAACAAATTCTCATTCAAATTGCTCTCCTTTTTTCAATTCTTCTCCTTATTGGGACAAAAAAAGGATATTTTGAGAAGAAGAAGAAGAAGAAGAAGAAGAAGAAGAAGAAGAAGAAGAAGAAGGGGAAGAAGAAGAAGAAGAAGAAGAAGAAGAAGAAGAAGAAGAAGAAGAAGAAGAAGAAGAAGAA